TAGGAAAAGATAGTATCAAATATTGAAGCAACATTAAACAAAGTCCATTTAAGTAAAGTGCATAAACATCCACAATTAATAATTAAGTCATTATCAAGATATAATGAAGTGTCCACAAGACTTAGGAGACTCCATGAGCTTCAATTCTCTGCAGAACAAGGACGGATGCAATCACCTCTTGAAACACTTTCCGATTTGATGGCAGGCAAGACATACAAGAGAAAACAAGTACATGTGTGGGTGGTTTTTATTTTGTTTTGTTTTTTTAACATTCTTACATTCTGAGCCATATTTTTCAGCAGATTCCACTGACAGGAAGGAGCTACACTGTGCTAAGACATCTGCCAGGGCAGTGAAGCTGTGTGCTTCTCAGAAAGCATTACATAAAGCCTGAGACACAACGCCACTGCATTTGCTGCTTTGTCCCGTAAACAATACTTACCTTATTCCAAGGCACATTTATGTTAAAACCTTTTCCTTTTCCCTGACCCACAGCATCATAATCAGATTCTCTGAGTGATGGCCAGAATTCCTGATGTTCATAGCGATGCCAGGAAAAATACAAAACACTGAAAGATACAAAAAACAAATCCAACCTGATAGAAAGGTTCCAGATCGAACTTTATATCATGAACCTGGTGACTGTATTGACTGAGAGCAAGAAAACAGAATTGTCCTTTCTCCTTAGCTTTCTTAATGAACTTGGACTGTGGAACTTGGTATGCTAGGTCTGATGCCAAAATGAACCTAAAAATTAACCTGCTAAATATTTCTTGTAGCTATGCCATTCAGATGAAAGACAGGGCATTTTCAGAGGAGCAAACCTGTTTCTAGGATCTACTTCTGTGGCTTATCCGAAAACTAATATAAAGCTCGTGTATTTCATTCAACTACTACTTGAGTACTTTAACTGAGATTTAAGAATACAGAGAACAGGCCTATTACCTGAATACTGGCACAAAGAGATCTTGCTACTGGCACACCAAAATATGCATATTGCTCATTTTGTGTTTGTTATTCTTTAAAGTAGAACAGATTTACTTATTTCTTTACTTGTTATAAAATAGAGGGAAAAATCTAACAAAAAAAGCCCACAACAGACAGACTAAAAGAGCAAGAATGCTTTGTAAGGTTCTAATTTTAGAAATTTTAGAAACCTTCTCTATAGAGAAAAGCAATCACTAGCTAACATTAAAAAAAAAAGAAAATTTCTTCAAACCTTGGGTCCTCTTCAAATGTGTACTGAATTCCTTGCCCATGGTGCACATCCCAGTCAACTATTAGGATTCTGCATAAATCAGTAAAAGAAAACATTCAGTGGAAGGACTACAGCTTCTGGATCTAATGGAGATACAGATGAACAATGTTTTTCTGACCCATAAGGTACATGACACCCAGAAACCTCTAGACTTTCACCTAAACCAGCAGAATGTCAAACTGTTCTCTAAGGGCCATATGTGAGTAGGAAAAGCTTCTCTAGAGCCCAGCATGCACTCACCTCTGCAGACCATATTTCAGTTTTGCATATTCTGCAGCAATAGCAACGTTGTTGAACAAACAGAACCCATTAGCTGCATTTCTCTGGCTGTGGTGGCCTGGAGGTCTGAACAAAGTTTTATACAGTTACTTACAACAAGATATTTTGGTAAGAAGCAAAAAACTTTCTCAGACGTTTTCTTACCTTACTAAAGCCATTCCATTGCACACCTTCCCTGAGATGACAGCGTCCACCAGCTGCAAAGCTGCTCCCACGGCGAGTCTGGCACAGCGGTACGTGCTCTGAGAAAGAGAAGCGCAGGAGCTGCCACCAGCCGCTCAGCAGATTGCTTTGGACTGACCAGACACCACGTGCCTTTGCACCCCAACAGCAAACTGCCTTGACATGGTGCTACCTCACTGGGGTTATATGCAGGTTGTTGAAAGCGACACAGATGCCAAAGTGCCTTCTAGTAGGTTCCCCTGAGATCATCGTGTCCTTTGTAACGGTGTTCTCTCTGGAGCAGCTGAGAAACACGAGCTGGACGCACTGAACTGACTAGTGGAATATCATGGCAGCTTTGAAAATAAGGAATGAAACCTTACAGAAACAAGATAAAGACTTCACCTCCATTACCTGGCACAACACTTAAGAGCAACTACCAAAATGTGATTTGCAGGTCCCTAAAGGTCTACAGGGACACTAAGTGACAAAAATGGAGCTAAATTTGACAAGTGGGCTATACTTGCCTGACACAATTACAGAACAGATGACAGGACACTGAACCAGTTTAAATTACAGCATTATACTAAACCTGGAACAGATCACAATAATATCATAAATAAATGCAAGTCTACTTAAATAGCAAAAATCTATGGCAAACTTTCCCCTACTTAGAAAGTGCCACTCAGAGGCAGTAACACAAGTCTCTCCCAACAGAGGAAGCAGTTTAACTTACACACCGGGTGAAAGAAAAAAGCATCATAATTTGCAGAGACTCTTTTCAGTTCCTCTTCATTCATTGTCTGTGTGCTTTTTGCCACTTCCAAGTGTTCTGAACTGCAGAGGAGAGAGGTTAAGATAACACTTAACTAAGCAACTACATAAGGTGGGTTTTTTAAAATGCAAAGTGTAACGAAAAGTAATAGAATAAGTAGTAGAAAAAGGGGCTTTCTTGAGACAACACAAGTCCAATAGGTACTCTGGCATGCTAGTTGCAGGATATAATGAAAAAAATCAGAAGCATTATGAATGCAAGGGTTCTTGGATGTCTTAAGAATATGACATCCTTCTCACTTTGCCAGTGGAAGGAGCCTGCTTTCAAAAAAAGACACTCTTTGTTCAACGTACAGCAATATATTTTGTAATCCATGCTAGATACAGATATCATCCCAACAAGAACTGAACTAGGATTGTGAGAGCCATCTGAGTGTGAATTGTGACTCTGAGAATGTGCATCTACCCCCCCCTTGTTCTACAGGAAACAAGTATTTGAATGAATCCCTTACCAGGTGTGTACTAACTCTCCCTTTCCCCTAGTTCAAGAGTGTAGTAAATACTAAGGCATCAGTGTTCCCCCAGTTCTCTGTCACTGCTCTCCTGCCCTTGCTGTAGTGAGATGGAAGTAAGAGGCTGATGGCACCCACTCTCCCCTAATCCAGGATACAATGACCATGCATGTGTTCCTCTAGGTGGACAATGCCAAAGAGAATTTCACAACAAAATGAGACACACTGGTGCAGCCCAATGGAAACAAAGCTAAACAGTGACCTCAAAATGAAGGCTTTAACAGGAATAAAGCCACATGAACCTGAATTACTGTATCATTACTAGTTTAACTTCAGCAGCCTTGAAACTAACTGTGAATACAAAACATTTTTGTGAGAGTTGTAAATGGGTTTCAACCTAGAAGTGTTTTAGAAAGGAAAGAGCTCTGTTATGTCCAGCTTAGCTATGGAAACCGAGACCAGATTTAGTGATTTGTCCCCAGTAATCTAGCAGGAGCAACTCCACTGGAGATAGTGATCAAGCCTCTCCCACAATCAATCAGCAATGCTTTTAGTATCAAAATAAATTATACTGGTACAAAGCACTAACTGCATTCTAACAAACAAGCATGTTCTTAGGAAAAAAACTCTTCTGGAATCTGAAAATTTAAGCATGACTTAAGATCAAGCTATGGTTCTCTCCAGAGTGTCAGGACCCTGGGTGCATCCCTTCCCTCCTGGGGTTTGGCTGCTGGGTTCAGAACCAGCAGAGGTAGCACAGCTGGTCAGCTGGAAGCGACAGCCAAAAGGAGCCTCAGCAGAGGTTCCCTCCAAACAAACAGCTCTGCTAAGAAGTCTCAACAGGCATTCTCCCTCCTGACCTTGGCACTTGCCACCATCAGGCTTTCACTCTTGGCTACATCACAGCTGTGTTGTACAGCCACGGCTCTGTTGGGCCAACAGCCCTGCTCATCTGGACCTGGACCCAGACCTGTGGACTGACCCTCCAGCTTGACCTCAGACCTACTGTATCACTGTGGCTTTGCTGGGCAATCTAATCTCATGGTTGAACGTGGTCACCATCACTGAACCAGTGCCACTCCCCTCACTTGGCTACTGTGGGATTGTGCCCTTCCAGAGTCACTGTCTCTGCTGCTCTGTCCTCACACTCTGCTCCTGACTCCCCTCACCCTTCTGAGCTGCTGCCCTTGACACTCCCAGACACGGGAAGTGAGTGCAACAAGCAACATGCAGAATCATCTGCAGCCATTGCAGAATCATCACACTGAGGTGACAAATGCCAGAGCAGACTTCATTCCTATGACTTCAGAACAGGCAGCTTGCTGTTCCTTTTAACTCCCCTTCAGCCCCAGATTTAGCTGCAAAGTTTTACTGGTTTGTTCACTCCATCTCAAAGATGCTTGAGAGAAATGGGAGATTACTATCTTGCTAAAGAAACACACAATTTTCCACACTTCTTAAAGTCGTTCCAATTTTATCAGCATTTTACTCTTAATCCTATGTATAAAGCAGCATTCATTGCTTCAAAGACTGCTTCAAAGGCTGGAGGGGTGGGCACAAGCC